GTAGGGAAATTCTGCCTGTTTGTAATGGTTAGTTATTTGGTTTAACAATACTATTAAAAGTTTCCAAGGTTATTGTGCTGCCATGTGGTTCTTTCTCTGGTTTTGGAGGTTCTTTTTTGGTTTGGGGTTTTTTTACCTGTTATTAACTATATGTTTCCCATCACCAGACAATGTATACAACTAGATGCTGACAGAGCTGCTCCAGGGAAGGTGCTGCAAACTGGCAAACACTGGGGAGCTTTCTTCAGAAGGGATCAATTAAAAATAAAAATCTTTCATCCATTTAGTTGTGTCATGGTAGCGACGGAGCAGAAGCACCTGTGGAGAGGAGACTGCAGTTTGAGTTCTGCACCTCACAGCAGTGCCCGGTGCATGGGAAACAGGGCTTGCTTTTGTGCCTTGCACAGTTTTGTCCAGGCAAAGGTTTAATATTTTCCAAGCCAGACTGGTATCAACTGCAGGAACCCAGTTTTCTCTGTGAGTTCTGTACCCTTGCTGTAGGCAAAAGAACTTTATATTCTTGATAAATGCTGCTGGAACAAGATCCTGCTTTACATCGGCCTGGGGCTGTGCAAAGCGTTGTGTTACCTTGCAGCCTGTGGCAGGGAACAGAGGGTAATGACAAATGCACACAAAAGTTAAATTGCAAATTTATTTTGTGATTCTGTCCTCAGTGGCTTCTTACCCACAACTGACAAATAGCTCAGGGTCATTCCCTCTCACTTCAGGCAATGTTTTTTTATGTTTCATAGACTTGCTCAGTTAAATAAAAAGTAATTGAAACTTTTGCAGGGCTGCAGCAGTGTGGTGGAGTGGAGCAAGTGCATGTGCATTTTTGCATGCACATGATTATATATCGCTTTGGTTTGCAACATGTGAAGTCTCCTTAGCTGCTTGGATTTCTTTTTCTATTTTATCTGTCAGACCAAATGGTGAGCAGACTGTGAACCATTTCCCTATCTTTTTTTAATCTTAATGTGGCGATTTTTTATTTCTGTTGGTAGCCTTTCAAGTAGTCCCATAGCCTATCTGCTCTCCTTACGGAGGCCAGAACGCAGCAGTTGGAGATTTCAGTTTTTCAGCTGCTGGTCCTTTTCCAGATTTAAGTTTAGCATGAATGTAAGTCATCCTAATAACATAAAGCATGGACACAAAAGCTGTCGTTAACAGGAACAATTACACAAGTACCAGCAAAAGACAGGGAGCCTGTCTAATGCTGCTTTTCATGTTCCCAGAGAATGAAAGGCCAATTAATTAAATTAAAACAGTGATACTGAGCTGTTCTAATTCCTTTCTGAGCTGCTGGCCTGCAAACAGGTTTGCATGTAGGGAAGCAAGTGGAGAGAAGGAGGCTGAGACACGGGGCTGGGGTGAGGATCTCCGGCAGCCGGCACTCCCTCCGGATGCTGTGTTTCTCCAGAGGCACTTACAGGACCCTGCGGTTACGTTTGAGTGAAGACAAGTGGGAAGAAAAGCAAATGTTCGTTCCCTAAGCAGCTGTGTTTCAGCTCCCTTGTACCTGTTGTTGTACTGGGCTTGGTTTGGAAGCAGAGAATCTTGGATAGAACAAAACCTCCGTTCCCCCAGATCTCGTCATCGCTTCTGCCGGTCCAGATTGCCTTTCTGACTGCCTGGCGCCAGGCTGGGGACTGCATCCTAGTGAGGCAATTTAGTGAGGCGATGAACAACTTTTAGCAATTCTTCCCTCTAACTCCTTCATGGGTTTGCTGCAACAGCAAAAGCTGTGGAAGATGGTGGGAGGAGGAGAGTAGTGAGGCATGTTTTGGGATCGTCCCTGGAGACGATGGGCGATAGAAACAAAACTGCGGAGGGGAGAGTGAACCTTTAAATCTTGTGACTGTGTCTCATTTTGAAAGCAATTGAAGTGTTCAGAATCAAAATTTGAAAGACAGTTAACTATGAAGGCAGACAAGCTGCTGTTAGTGTTTTTTAAGACCGAGGAATCTGATGAAACCGAGACTCTGGGGGTTGCTGTCTGTGGTATTGCCTAAATCTTGTACTTAGAAGCCTTATCCATAGGCTCCTAAATCTCACAAACAGCACCGCAGTCTAGAGGTGTAATTGCAGCTGGTGTAGGTGAAGGTTGTGTTTTGAGATTCAAGATCAGGTGTGTAGCTGTGGAACCCCATGGAGGGGTTTTTGGGGTTTTTTTTTGTTTTTGCCCAGCAGTTTGGGTAGTGGTGGCTTGGCTATGCCTTGTCTGCAGGGCCTGTTACAACCTGGGTTGTAATTTGCTGGGGAATCAGTGGGTTTAAGACCTTTCCTTATTGCCTTAAATATAAATAAAACATATAACACTGTGTCTTTTGAGCTGTTTTTTTTCCTGCCACCCATTATGATGGCATATGTAGCACTTGCCAGGTGTGAGGAAGTGTCAGCTGTAGTAGCGGGAGGTGAAGTGTTTTCTGTCGAACCATCTATCAGCTGGTAAGAGAGATGCATGTGAACTGATCAGTGTTTATTAACCTTTATTAGTGCAGCCTGCACTTAAACATACCTGCCGGATTTTTGCCAGTTTCACAGCGTGACCTCGAACTTCACAGGGAAATGGGGCAATGCCAACAGGACCCGGTCTATCTAGGGACGGTGGACGTGCGGCTCTGTCCTACGGCCGGCTTTGGAGCTGGTGTCACAGCCGAGAGGGTTCAGCCTGACTCCGGCAACAGCAACTTGGGATGTTTCGCATAGAGGAAAAAACTACTCTTACTTCCTTTGTTCTCAAAAGAGTCCTGATTCCCCGAGGTGAGGGGCTGGAAGGGAGGGGTATTTCCTTGGGAGAGTGAAATAGAAGTTTGCAGTTTATCCTGTGAGGGGGTCTTCCTGCAGGAAGACAAAGTTGTGTCGTTCTGGGGACCAGCGCGAGGGTTTTTGGGGACCTCTCTAACCCCCAGGAGCCAGCCGTCTCTGGGGTGCGGGGCGCAGCTACGGCACCGGGCCCTGCGCTGTGCCCGTGTTGAGCGAGGCCGGGTGGGACAGGCTGAGCCTGAAGCTGAGGCTGGTGCAGGCAGGATCTGCCTGCAGTTAGACAGGATGAGATGGTGTCACCTTATCCCGCAGCCCGTCTGCAGCGACGCCTGCGTGGGGGCCAGGGGCAGCCGGAGCAGTTTTTCCTGTCCCCCAGGAGTGGTGACCACAGCACACCATTTTCAGCAGGCAGCTCTGAAACTGGGCAGGAAAAATACAGGTTACGTGTCACGGAAGAAAGCTGGCGTCCACCTCGAGACTTGGAGGCAGAGGCTGCGGGGTGGATGCTCCTCAGCCCATTGTACTTCATGTGAGATCTGCATTAAGTCCCATCCCAACTCTTTGCTGACCCTGGCAGTTTATTGACAATAAATGGTTCATTCTGTTTGCTTTGTGTGTTCAGTGAGCAGTTTGTGATGTAAAATTAAGCTGCCTGACCCTATAAAATCATGGAAGCAGAAAATGAGCTCTTGTTCAGGCTTGGAGGCTGCTCCCTCCCTTTCCATTTCATTCCCCAAAACCTTGCTGCTTATACAGCACCTCCTCGGTTGAACCTGTGTCTACGCTTCCAGATAGCATAGATGTTTCCTCCACGGTTTATGAGGCCATGAAGTTGTTCTGCAGAAGCCCCAGTGAAGCTGTGGTTTCGTTAGCTGGTGGCTTGCGCTCTCACCTGTTTGTTCATGAAGACGTAGATGATTGGATTGTAAACCGTGGCGGTCTTGGAGAAGTAGGAGGGCAGGGATGCGAGAGCCGGCTGGATGGCGATGTCGTCGTTGGTGGCCACCACCAAGGCAAACGTGGCATAGGGCAGCCAGCAGATGAGGAAGGCCACCACCATTGTGATCACCATGCGCGTCACCTCCCTCTCCGCCTGCTGCGTCGTGTCCGACTCCTGCTGCTGCGCTGCAGCCTGCAGGGAGTTTTGAAGAGAGAGAAATGCCCGTTAACAACTTCCAACGGCATTTCCATCCCTTAGGTGCCCTGACAGCAGCATCAGGAGATGTCAGCTCCATCGACTGCCACAAAAACCTGCCGTGAGGCTCTTCATCCCGATGGAGATGTGCCTCGCCAGCCGCTTTGTGAGCAGGAAGCCATTAACTCACCTGTACTCGCCATACTTACCGCTCGCAGGGTCATCAGCAGGTTGGTGTAGGAGAAGAGAATCAGGCTGAGGGGCATCACGAAGCAGGTGACAAACAAGGCCAAGATGTAGCTGTTGTTGTTGCTGCCGCCGGTGTACCAGTTGGGCCCGCAGGAGGTTCTCAGACCTGGAACAAATAAGTTTCAAAAAAAGCTCAAACTGATCATGGCTTGGACAGGGGCTCAGTAACAGGCTCCAAAATAGCGAACGCCGGCGCTGCTCCCTCTTAGCGATGCCTCTCACTCTTCCGTCCCCAGTGGCCTGGAGATCAGCCACTGTGGTTTTGGGCTGGCCGACTGCTCCGTGTGGGAGGGTGATTTGCTGCGGCGTGCAGCGTTATGCCAAGCCTCTACGTGAGCAGATTTGGGCTGGGTGTGCTCCGGCAGCTGGAGCAGCTCATGGCTCCGATGTCCATCAGATGTCTAAGAATGGCTGCAGCATGTCATGCAGTGGGTAACTTCTGAAGAACAACCTCTGCGAGAGGATTACTGACTGAGCAAGCAGGAGGTGTTAACATTTTAAATACCAGCATAGAGACTCTCCAACTACCCCGTGCTTGAAAACGATAGATGTAAGAAGGTGATGCTGTGGAGCCTGAAGCACACTTCCCTACCTTCAGGCACGTAGCTGCTCCAGCCCATGAGTGGTGGGGTTGTCCAGAGCAGGGACCAGCTCCACGTGAAGGCGCAGCCGCTGACGGCGTGCCGGTGCTGGAACCGAAAGCCTCCCAGGGGTCTGCAGACCACGACGTACCGCTCAAAGGCCAGGATGGCCAGGGACCACAGCCCCACGATACCTGGGGAGAGAAGGAGGGTTTGTGCCGTAGGAGCAGGCTCTCCTACGGCTCTGCTGCCCCTGTGGGGACGGCAGATGATGATTAAGAGCTGTTGAAATAAACGGCGTTGTAACAAGTCAGACATTTTTCTTATGGCGGGGATAGCTGTGAGAATATTTGGCCCTTAAAAATGGTTGGCAATTGGGTGTCTGTGACGCATCCTGGTTATGACCACAGTTTCTCCGCTGGAGTGTCCTTGACAAAAGGTTTTGTGCATTTCCACCTTTCTGGTGCACACACAACCATCCGTGTGCTGACATAGCAGCCAGCACCCACGAAGCGCATCCCGAGCGAGGACTCCGGATGTGCCCAAGTGACACTGCCCGCCCTGTGAAGACCAAGTCAGCATGTGGTGACCTGACACAGCCAACCAGCTGCTTGACCCTTCCCTGCACTAAAGAATAGCTGAAGGACAGGAGCTTTACATCACGCACAAAGCATTGACTTTAGGAGATGCAGCAATCATCTGACAAAACATTCCCCAAGGCTCCTTTGCTAAAAACAACAGCCCCAACCAAAGACAAAGACAGGTCTCGAGGTTCGTGTCCTTACCCGTCAGGGAGACCATGAAGCCCTCCAGCTCGCACATCTGTTTGCCAAACACAAAAAAGCCGTTGATGTTGTTGGAGAAGCTGACAGAGCTGCCGCAGAGCGTCACCAGCAGGTTGGCCACGGCCAGGTTCACCAGGATGTAGTTCAGGGGAGACCGGAGCTTCTTGTACCTGATGGACACCACGATGACCAAGCCGTTCACAACCGAGGAGGAGACCACAACGATGCCCATCAGCACGGCCACTGACAGGTACATGCCCCGCGGCGCCTGGTGGGGCCACTGGGGGCCATCGAAAGGCCCCGGGGTCCCGTTATTTGGGGGCTCCTGTGAGCTGTTGGAGGAGTACATCCGTCGTCTTCTGGAGCAGCAGCGCCAGGGCAGCTGATGCAGGTGACCCTCCCCAAAACCAAAGCCTCCTTATAAAGCAGGAGGGCCTGACGCACCCCGGAGGAGCTTTGTGTTAAAATACCTTAAGCTTTTTTTTAATCTGCAGGGTTTGTCCTCCCACCTCTCTTTTTATAATCAGCTCTTTATTCTGGAGGGGATAAGGAGTGACTTAAAAAAAATCTGATGACTGAACAGTGCATCATTTAATTGAGTAAACAGATTTTTTCCTTGTGCTTCCCAGCTGCCTTCCCCATGACCCCTGCCCAGCCCTGGC